TATATATATATATATATATATATATATATATATATATATATATGGGTGGTGTTAACGGTGTCACGTGTGGTTATGTACGTTACACGATATTACTTAACGTGTAAACATGCCTGAACATGAAACACTGTCTCCTGTTAAGTCGGTCTCTCCACGAAACAAATCAAACATCTCGGTCAACTTTTAGCTAGACGGGATTTGATAAAGCTTGCAGCGACCTCTTGAGGTCTTCTTTGCCAATCTTCCAGTGTTGCTTTGTTTGCTTGAATCTGGTCTCCCTGCAGTCGGTCAAGAATTGAGACACACATTACAGCTCCTGAAAGAAGATACGTAGCGAGTGTGTAGTTATTAAATAGCTCAAACAAGCTACAGAGAAAAAACATTCACTCGTCAACAAACAAGAGAGTTAGGCCTAGCTATAACAAAAATAATATCTTGTAAAGATAAGTATTAGGCCTAGCGAGAGCATATGATTCTGTAAGGACACTGAAGCAGTTTGTCATCTTTTCTTCTCCAACTACTTTCTTCAGATTACTAGATACATAAAATTCAATAAACAATCCTAACTAGTCTGAAATAACAATCGTATAAGGCTTAGAATACCCTCCATCTGGTGTAACTGCTAAAGAACGAGAAATTATAGATTTTCGTAAGTCCAAGAATAACAATATTGTCCCCACTTAAATTCACTATAAAAACAAGAATTCATTTTTTTTTTTTTTTTACAAATTACAGTTTTATCTCTAAACAACAGTTCCGAACACAATTAACAACGGTAATTAATGATGACTTGAAGTCAAAAATATATAGCAGAGACGACTGGTTGTGGGTATTAAAAACTTTAATTAAAATAAAGTACAAGAACAACGTTTCGACCTTCTCAGGTCATCTTCAGGTTAACAAAGACGGTTTGAAACTGACCGTTACTGGGCACATGTCTTAGGGACGAGAGTGTGAACAGGTATGAGATTGTAGGGGTCGTAGCAGTTAGATGTTATTGTTTGTAATTAAGCACAATGCTACACAATGGGCTATTTGTGCTCTGACCACCACGGGTATCGAAACCCGGTTTCTAGTGTTGTAAGTCCGCAGACTTACGTAAATTACCACTGGAGGGCGTTAGATGTTAGGTGATTAATATAGGTATAAAGACGTTCCTTTATGTTGGTTTGAGTTCTATAAGTAGGGCTTTTTCGTTTGTTTCTCTAGTTGACATGTTGGTGTTTTCTATTTTAATACCCGTACCAGCCGTCTGGTTTTCAAGAAACAGATTCACCTCTTAGGTTGCAGTAGTTACAGATTGCAGCAAAGGCTAGTGATTCCATCTCGATATTAATGATACCAACATGTTTCAAGTGATGTAAGTACTCTGTCTTTTCTCTCTCGGTGTAGCAGCAGAAAGCTCCGTCTAGACGACCCTGACCTACGTGTCACAAAATGACAGCTTTGGGTGAAATGTTGAGAAAAACAAAATACAAAACCAAAAACTGCTAAAAGCCTTTCAAATCTTGATAAACAATAATTGGACAAAAGTTGTAACAAATTTAAACTAACCAATCATGAAATATTAAAAAAAAACATTGTCGAATTTACGTATAAATACCCGAAGTCACAAGAAGTCACACTGTTGAATTTACGTATTAATACCCGAAGTTACAAGAAGTCACACTGTTGAATTTACGTATCAATACCCGAAGTTACAAGAAGTCACACTGTTGAATTTACGTATCAATACCCGAAGTTACAAGAAGTCACACACTGTTGAATTTACGTATCAATACCCGAAGCTACAAGAAGTCACACACTGTTGAATTTACGTATAAATACCCGAAGTTACAAGAAGTCGCACACTGTTGAATTTACCTATAAATACCAGAAGTTACAAGAAGTCACACACTGTTGAATTTACATATAAATACTACACGATGGGTCAACACAAGATATAAAACCCGATGGGTCAACACAAGATATAAAACCAACGATGCTACTACATGATGCTACTACACGACATAAAACACCAGTGATGATACTACACGACATAAAACACCAGTGATGATACTACACGACATAAAACACCAGTGATGATACTACACGACATAAAACACCAGTGATGATACTACACGACATAAAACACCAGTGATGATACTACACGACATAAAACACCAGTGATGATACTACACGACATAAAACACCAGTGATGATACTACACGATATAAAACCAGTGATGCTACTACAAGATATAAAACCAGTGATGCTACTACAAGATATAAAACCAGTGATGCTACTACAAGATATAAAACCAGTGATGCTACTACAAGATATAAAACCAGTGATGCTACTACAAGATATAAAACCAGTGATGCTACTACAAGATATAAAACCAGTGATGATACTACAACATATAAAACCAGTGATGATACTACAACATATAAAACCAGTGATGATACTACAACATATAAAACCAGTGATGCTACTACACGATATAAAACCAGTGATGATACTACAAGATATAAAACCAGTGATGCTACTACAAGATATAAAACCAGTGATGCTACTACAAGATATAAAACCAGTGATGCTACTACACGATATAAAACCAGTGATGCTACTACAAGATATAAAACCAGTGATGCTACTACAAGATATAAAACCAGTGATGCTACTACAAGATATAAAACCAGTGATGCTACTACACGATATAAAACCAGTGATGCTACTACACGATATAAAACCAGTGATGATACTACACGATGGGTCAACATAAGATATAAAAAGGAAGTGGTAAGATTGTATAACTAACAATGCCACTACGTAATGGGTCATCTCCTGACATTCTGATATCCAACATACCTTCGTAAAAATCTTGAGTACACAGTGTTTTCCCAACTGTCACGGGAATTTGAGGTAGTTGTTGCTCTGCTATGGATTTCAGTTCTTCCACCAGGGTTGGATCCAGCTTAGCTGGACGTCGGACGATCTGACCTAGTACAGGCTAAATTGTGGATTACAAACAACAAAACCAGTAAACATTTTGGTAATTCACTAATGACGTAACAAGTTCGCGGCCACATAACAACAAATCCAGTAAACAGTTTGTTAATTCACTAATGACGTAACAAGTTCTCGGCCACATAACAACAAAAACCAGTAAACAGTTTGTTAATTCACTAATGACGTAACAAGTTCTCGGCCACATAACAACAAAAACCAGTAAACAGTTTGTTAATTCACTAATGACGTAACAAGTTCTCGGCCACATAACAACAAATCCAGTAAACATCTTGTTAATTCACTAATGACGTAACAAGTTCGCGGCCACATAACAACAAATCCCTGAAACAACAAACACGAGCTTCGGACAATCTTCACCCATACGAAAAGAGGAATTCACTTTTAAATAAAGGTTTCGACAAGTACAAAAGTTGTATCTCAGAGTTATCTTTGAAAGAAGAATGCATGTAAATATTGGGTGACCAGAACAGCCTCTAATTTCTGTAAGATTAAGTTTCTACGATATAAACACCTGTTCCTTGGCAATTCAAAATACCAACACTTTCAGTAAATACTCTAGCAAACTGAAAAACATGGCCGATAGGTGGCAGCAGTTCTGCAGACAAACGTTACTAGATTACACAAACGAAATGATTGAATCGTAAATAAATATACTTGAGTGATAACCAAAACATTTCCTTTCATTTAATTAGGTTTATTTATACTCTAGCAAACTGAAAAACATGGCCGATAGGTGGCAGCAGTTCTGCAGACAAACGTTACTAGATTACACAAACCAAATGATTGAATCGTAAATAAATATACTTGAGTGATAACCAAAACATTTCCTTTTATTTAATTAGGTTTATTTTTTCATTGAAAATCGTTTTAGTTGATGGAACGAAAGATATTTAGATTCGTCAATCATGACGCGGTAAAAAAAAGACAATTACTTTTCTGCTAAGCCGCGTTAAAGTGTTAATTAATACTTGTGTGAAGTATACGAATCCACCTAACGGTTTCTACGTAAAGCAGTTACTTGTTCAATATTAGAACAATTTTTAAATTACCGAGTGGATGAACCACCGTTAAAACAGGGATGCTAAACCGAATTTATTGAAAATATAGATGCTATCGTTAAGACCGAAACTGGCAGAAAGTAATTATAGCAAATAAAAATTTAGGTTTTAGCTTAACGAAATAATAAATGGGTTTATAATAAGTTTGGATTCGGGTTTTGTCGGTCCAGGTACTTTGAAACATTTTAAATATCTCCTCAATAGATCATCAGAACTTTGCAATTCGTTCGTTCTTGGCAGTTATCTTGATTTAAAAATAATTATCTCCTAGGAAAAAATTACCAATCAAGGGTGCTCGAAGATTAAACAATCCTCCTTCACCCTGCTGGTGGCATAAGGTTATATTTCAATTAATGGTCATCGGAATAATGAGCCGTATGGGCGAAGAAGAAGTAATAATAATTAATATTACAATACTATACAGTGTTGCCTTTTATATCAATATCTATGTAATGACTGAGTCACAAGTTCTTGGAAAGTCTGTAAATATCACATCATAAAGTTTGAATATCTTGCTCTTCTTTCGTCTGTTTTATTACATGATAACTCAAAAACCAAAACATGGCGTCAACCAATTTCACTGTGTTTCAAACACTTTTAAAAGTATTATTGATAACCAGTAGTAATTATAAAATATCACAATTCTAGTGTAAGCGATGTTATCCTTAGCCCTTGAAGTTAGCTTTCTGACAGAAGAATGGTGTTCCTTTAAAACGCTTAAGTACAGGGTGAAACAGGAATTACCAGCCAATAAATATTATACAATAAATATTACAGTTGGAACCTGTATTATTAGAACTTGGTTATAAATACAACATTCCTATGTCTATTGAAACACTACATTAAAATAAACAAGAAAAACTTTACAACAAATGAAGTAAAGGTAGGGATGGCTAATATATACAACTATTGAATCACAATTGAGTTTAATTTATCCTGTTTCTGTCTGTTAACATTTTACTACACTGTGCTATTATGTAGGGATCATATAAATACCATCCCTACAATCTTGTTTGCATTGTTTTCGAAGGATTGATATTAGCCATCCCTACATTTACTACCTTTTTAGAAAAGGTTTTTTTACTTGTTATTTAAACTTAATCAGAGTTTAGTTTCAAGTGAATTAGTATTCCTTCTGACTTTAGTTTCAACTTACCATTTCCAGATAAGGCCGTAACAAGCCGTCAACAACTGTCTCAGTAATTACTGTTGTTCCAGGTTGGAGTCCTGAAGTTTTATGAACAATAGGTGAATCATATACAATGTATACCACAAAAATACCGTTATGAAACTATATAGAGAAATTAAGTTCTTCCAGCAACATTAGTCTTTCTGACGTTTCAGAAAGTAATAATTAAAATGCACACTAGATGGCGCACTTTTATAAACGGGAAAGGTACGACATTACGTTTCCATATCATTATCTACAACGACGGAAGGTAATGTAAATAAAATGTTATACAACACGTACATATAAAAATGTGTAATTAATTAAAGAGTTATTCACTTACCAATTCCGCCACACGTTCCTATCCTTAGAAAGGTCACATCCTTACATTTGGCATAGTAAAGTAGCTTTATGACCTCGTGGAGCATGACTGACAAAGAGGGAACGCCCATACCGTGCTGCATATAAAGGATTTCACTTTTCTTACGTTAGCGGTAATGTTTAAGGACACATCGGATCTATTAAACTATTTTTATGTAAAAATCAAGTGTTATTTTCCCCCATCAGACATAGTTATCGACTTAAAGACAATTGTTATATGGATATAAAAACATGTATTAATATATCATTCATGATGTAAGACAACACGTAGGTTCAATAAGTAGCTCGGGTTATAAAGATATATCATTTTGTATTAATATATCATAAAACTTGTAATTAATTAGGCAGTTAGATGAGTGGATTATTCGGTTATAGTTCGGGCCTGCTCACAAGTTTAAACTACAAGGAACGATATGAAACAACTGATGCTTTAAAACAAAACATTTGTTGAAAGTTTCACCAAGGAACGATATGAAACAACTGATGCTTTAAAACAAAACACTGTTGAAAGTTTTACTAAGGAACGATATGAAACAACTGATGCTTTAAAACAAAACACTGTTGAAAGTTTTACTAAG